ACTTGTTCCTTGGTTAAAGGAACAACTATTTTGTCTGGGTCATTACCACACAATTTTATTATCCGTAGTCTTGCCTGACCAATTAATGTAGCTATTTGATCCAAGTACAATGTAAAAGTCTTAATTGTACTGTGAGAAAGAAATGACCACTCCACAAGATCAGTGTTTTGAATAATGATGCCTGTTGGAGAATGTGCAGTAGCAAAAATCAAAAGTTGGAGTGGGGCTAAAGGATCTATCCTATTTATTTGCGCTGACTGAATTTTTTCTTCCACTAATTTAATTTCTTTTGTTGCCTCTGGGGTTAATATTCTTTTACTATTTAAGTCTGGATCTCCTCTTAGGATAGAGAACAAATTTGACATGGCATAAGTAGGAATGCCTAGAGTTGGCCGAATCCAATTAATATCGCCTAACAATTTTTGAAAGTCATTTAATGTTTTTAAAGTATCTTTCTTATTTCTATTTTTTGTGGCTTAATTTTTCTATTTTCTATCTGCATCCCTAAATAATGAAAAGGAGCAGAGGTTTGGATCTTATCCGATGCTATTGTTAGTCCTGCGTTGGCAACCTCTGCTTGCAGAAATGTGTAACAGTCAATTAATTTTTCTCTTGTTTCTGCAGCACATAAAATATCATCAATATAGTGAATGATACAACAATCGGAAAATTTGTCTCTAACTAGTTGAAGGACTTGACCTACGAAAGTCTGACAAATAGTTGGACTATGAAGCATTCCCTGAGGTAGTACTTTCCACTGAAACCTGGTGGCTGGTTCTTTATTATTTATGGCTGGTATAGTAAAGGCAAATTTTTCACAATCTTGCTCTGCCAGTGGAATGGTAAAAAAGCAATCCTTAAGATCAGTTATAATTAAAGGCCAGTCTTTTGGGATCATGGCCGGAGAGGGCAATCCGGGTTGAAGAGGCCCCATGGGTTGAATTACAGCATTTACGGCTCTTAAGTCCATTAACATACGCCATTTGCCTGATTTTTTCTGAATTACAAATACAGGAGAATTCCAGGGTGAGAATGAAGGCTCAATGTGTCCTTTTTTAAATTGTTCCTTTGCTAATGAATGTAAAGCCTCCAGTTTTTGCTTCGGGTAGCGGCCACTGATTTACCCATACCGGTTTTTCTGTTTTCCAAGTTAATGGAATGGGTTTAGGAGGCGCTACAGTGGCCGCCCCTAAAAAGGATACCCTATTCCTTTTCTTTCTTGATTTTTCTTAGTCTCAATTGGGACTTTAATGTCATTTTCATTTTTTCCTAACCCCTTTCCTGGTATATATCCCATCTTAGTCATGATTTTTTGACTCGTGGGGCTGTATAATGGAGCGGGCATAATGATTTCCGCACCCCATTGCTGTAATAAATCTCGACCCCATAGATTAACAGGAATTGAAGTAATCATTGGCTGAACAGTACTTTCTTGATTATCTGGTCCTAAACAATGTAAAATCATTGTACTTTCGTACACTTCTGAAGCTGTGCCTACGCCGACAGGTCTTGTAACAGCCTTTTGTTTAGGCCAATTTTTTGGCCATTGATTTAAAGCAATGACAGAGATATCTGCTCCAGTGTCTACCAACCCTTCAAACTGTTTTCCTTGAATAATGGCCTTACACACAGGTCTGCTCTCAGAGACCAGATTTGCCCAATATGCAGCCTTTCCTGTTGGATCAGTGCTTCCGAACCCTCCTGTTCTTTTTATCTCACTGTTTCCAACTTTAATATAAGGTAGGAGTAATAATTGAGCAATCCTGTCTCCTGGACTGGCACTCCAAGGAACTGAGGAACTAATAACCAATTGAATTTCGCCTTTATAGTCTGAATCAACCACACCAGTATGAATTTGAACTCCTTTTAGATTTAAACTTGATCTTCCTAAAATTAGTCCTACAGTCCCCTCAGGCAATGGGCCATATACCCCTGTGGGGATTTTTCGAGGAGGCTCCCCTGGAAGCAGAGAGACTGCTTGTATGGTGCATAAATCTACTGCTGCACTGCCGTTTGTGGCGGGGGATAATTGCTGTATTGTGATAACTGGCTTATTCCCTGAGACACTTGTGGCAGTGGGGGTTGTTGTTCCTGAAAACCCTGAGGAACAAAGGGCTGAATTTGGAATGCCCCAGTTTGTTGCGGGGCCTGAGGCTGGCCCCTCCTCTCGTTTCCCGACAGTGGCTGCCCATTTTTATCAAATTTAGAACGACATTGATTACCCCAATGTTTTCCCTTTTTACATCTTGGACATAGGCCAGGTGGCTCTTTATCTGTTCTTGTAGTAGCTTGAGTTACATTTTGTTTATTTGAGACTAGGCAATTCTTTTTTAGATGACCAATTTGACCACAATTATAACATCTTCCCCCAAATGTTCTAACCTGTCCTCCTAAAGCAACTCCTGTGATTGCTTGAGCCATAAGCATAGCTTTATGCATAGCTCCTCCAATTCCATCGCAGGCTTTAACATACTCTGAGATTACATCTGATCCTGCGGGAACCTTTCCTTTTAATGGCTTAATGGCTGATTGACAATCAGGATTGGCGTTTTCATATGCCATCAACTCCACTATGACCTTACGGGCATTCTCATCGGTAATTGACTTTTGAGCAGCATCTTGAAGTCTTGCTACAACATCAGGGTAGGGCTCTTTAGAGCCTTGTCTTATTGTATTAAAGGAGGGGCAGGCGGTTCCTGGGTCTTGGATTTTCTCCCAGGCCCTAAGGCAGATAGCCCTGATTTGCTCAATGGCCTCATTTGGCATTATTACTTGTTGGTCAACAGTGCTCCAATTTTGACCTATTCCTAATAGTTGATCTGCATCTATGTCAATTGGAGGATTGGCAGTCCTATTTTTTCGGACCTGTACTTGTGCCCCATCAATCCACCAAGTCTTAAATTGTAAAAACTGAGAGGGTGAGAGTGAGGATTTTGCCAGAATCTCCAATCATAAGGAATGAGTCTATGTCCATGAGCAATGGAATCTAATAATGTTCTCATGTAAGGAGAGTTGGGTCCATACTGTTTTACTCCCTCTTTCATTTCTTTTAGCATTTTTATAGAAAAAGACTTATATCTGGCTTCAGCTACGGGAAGCTCTCCCTCTTGGGCCCCTTCTCCAGGTGGTCTTGCTTCTAATATTACTGGGAATTGCCACGCCTCAATATCTCCTTGTTTTCTTGCCTCATCAATAATTTTATGTAACGCACTACCCTGTGTACTAGGCGGTGCTGTAGGATTAAGTCTCATGGTGGGCGGCTGAGGATATGGTGACCTGCCCTGTGGCATTGGAAATGTTCCTGGCTGTCCACACAGATTTTCTGGGGGCAACCGATACTGCAGTTCGGCTGGCAGCCAGTATTGATAGGCTACTGGCGGCTGGGTCTTATCTTCTACCGGCTGATATTGTGGACACAGCATTTGGAATGGCATTGCCATGACAGAAACTCTATCTTTTTCTATTTGATCTTCTTTTGGAGTTTGTACTTGTTTAACCTGCATTTGAGGTTGTAAAGTTACAGGCATTTGAGCTGCTGGAAGAGCAGTTGGCCATCGTGGTTTAGACTCTGATGGCTCTGCTAATTCTGGATTTTTTTCTTCTAATTTTAACGTTTTCAGGATATACTACCTCCTGTAATTGATTATTGTCAACATTTTGCGTTGACCGAGCCATAGCCGGCTCTGATACACATTCACAGTGTGAACTTTCCTTTCCTTTCCGGGATTCTATCCCTGCCTCTTTTTCACAATCTACTGCACAGCTTTTAGGGACATCAGAAATTGGAACGCTATCTTCTTCTGTTTGAAATGGTTCTAAAGCTACTTTAATAATGACCCAATCATTCCATACTGTGAGCGGAATGATTTTACCTTCCCTACTTGCTTGTTTTAATTCTTTGCCAATTTTTTCCCAATCTTTTAGATCTAAAGTTCCCTGTTCCGGAAACCATGGACAAAACTGCTCTATTGTTTTGAAATAGCGTAATTAGATTTTTGGTAGAGACTTTAACTCCCCCTCTTTTTAAGAGAATTTTAATAAAGCTGCGATAAGAGGCATATTTACTCTTAGTTTGCCCCATTGTTACCCTAGGTTCTTCCGAGCGCACAAGCTTACCGCAAGGCTGACTGTAGACGTACTCGGGAGTCCTCGTCGACTTGTCCTCAGTGACCACGCTCCAGCGTACCTTCACCTTAGAGAAAAGCTTCCACGTTGGGCACCAGATGAAGGGGTGGCCTGCCCCTCCACACCTGTGGGTGTTTCTCGTTAGGTGGAACGAGAGACTTGGAGAAAAGAAATAAGACAGAGACAAAGTATAGAGAAAGAAAAGCGGGGCCCAGGGGACCGGCGCTCAGCTTACAGAGGACCCACGCCGGCACCGGCCTCTGAGTTCCCTTAGTATTTATAGATAATTATCTTTACCATCTTAAAGATTAAGGGAGTGGCAGGACAATAGGATCATTTTTAGGGAGGAAATTAGCAGTAAGACATAAGAACAAGGATCTGTGACATGAGTAAGTTTAAAGGAAAATCCTGTGCCTTGAGATAAACCTTTTAGCACATTGTTTCATCCTATCACATGGGATAAACCTTGGACAATACCTAGCTTTTCTAGGAACAAAGTCACACCCTGCACGCCCAAAATCCATTAAACCTTGAGTTACCACAGCACATGTCTCTTGCAAGGACAAGGTCACAGATTAACAGCATCTCAAATACAGAACAAAATGGAGTCTCTTATGTCTACTTCTTTCTATATAGACACAGTAACAGGCTGATCTCTTTCTTTTCCCCACAATGCCCCACCCTTCCGAGGGCAGGAGCAGGGACGTGCCACTGTGTGGAGTGGCCGACTGGGGCGGGTGCCCCGTGTCACGTCTGTGCACTGAAAACCCCTCAACAGGAGCTGCTGTGTGACACTGGTGCTGGGACAGGCACAACCGGGCGTCTCCACAACAGTTGGGCTCCCGTCTGGGTGGGTGCGCCCGAGCCCGACTCACCTGCCAGGACTGAACCAGCTGTGCGATCTCCCGGCCCGACATGTGCTCCGTCAGCTCAGCGATCTCCTCGCACTTCCTCCCATAGTCAAACTGGGCCAGCTTCAGGCGCCTGGAGAAGGAGTTCCCAAGTGGGCCGGCCAAGGCAGCGGCTCCCACACCACGAGGTGGGGGCTGGAAGATAGGCAGCCAGGCGGGCACCCATGCCAGATGTCCCCTTGGGAGGGAGTCTTCCTGTGACAGCCAAACTCCACCCTCTCCATGATGCAAACCAGGTCTGGGCTGAGCAGAGAGGTGGCGACTGCTGTGGGGCCTGGAGATGGCCGCACCCCCTCTTCACACACCAGCCCTGCCCTCACCTGCCCATTCAGCACCCACAAGGCGCATGGCCCTTACAGTGGCAGTGGCAGAGCCCTGACTTCCAGCAAAAGCATCTCCCTGGAGGCCACAGAAGCCAAGTCATGGTGCCAGGGCTACGAGCAGCCGTGGGAGTGGGAGAGCCCAGGGCAGGGGAGGGCCAAAGGGAAACTGAGGCCGGGACAGCTGGGCTAGCATGGAGCAGGCATCCACGGAGGGGTTGGCAGGGGGAACCAGGCTCTCTTTGGAACAGAGCAGCTTTTGCTGTCACTGGAGACAGCAGGAATTTAGGTCAGGTGCACAGAAGGACTCAGAAACACGTGACCTGGGGACGCCAAGAGGTGGAGCAGCCTCTGCTCATCTGGAGTGTTCCTGAGGCAGCCGGCGTGCAGCCCCAGGGCCTGTCATCACCTGGAGGCCTCTGCCCGCCGTGCCTGCTGCACCCACCACCAGCTACAGGGAGCCTGAAGGCCTCAGGGTACAAGTGCAGCCGGAGCCGCGCCCCACACCATGAGGCTCCAGGGCCAGGCATGGCAGCTGGAGGAAGGCCAGGCCAGCAGCCAGCAGGGGACCATGAGGATCCTCTCCAGTCCCAATATGGGGCTCTCATGAGGAGCGTCTCCCTTGAATCCCAACATGGGGGTCTCAGAGCAACACTCCACGTCACCTCCCCTCACCTCCAGGGCCTGAGGCTGGCTGGGCACAGTGGCTGGCATCTGTAATCCCTGCACTGTGGGAGGCCAAGGCGGGCAGATCACCTGAGGTCAGGGTTTCGAGACCAGCCTGGCCAACATGGTGAAACTGCATCTCTACAAAAATGCAAAAAGTAGTGGGGTGTGGTGGCAGGCACCTATAATCGCAGCTACTCAGGAGGCTGAGGCAGGCGAATCGCGTGAACCCAGGAGGCGGAGGTTGCAGTCAGCTGAGATCGTGCCACTGCACTCCAGCCTGGGGCACAGAGCGAGACTGTCTCAAAAAAAAAAGTTGAAGGTTTGTAAGTGATGGTGGGCTCTGCCCCCCAAACCCGAGGAGACGCCACCAGGCTGTTCTCAGGTGGGGATGAGGAAAGGGTGGTGGCACCTCCCTGAGTGCGGCCTCTGGGACTCTTGGGGCCCACAGGGCTCCTGCTCAAAACCGCAGGGCAGGGAGGCGGTGCCACCCCGGAGATTGGGCCTGCTGGGATCGTCTGGAGAGCAGGGCCGGGGGTGGGCCCTGATCGAGGGTCCCTGGACAGGGGTGGGTAAAGTGAGACACTTACTGTTTTCCTTCTGTTGCCGGGATAAGAACATACTTGTCAAGATACATTCTCACCAGCCGCTCCCGCTCCTCCAGCCTGGGCAGGTCGAAGTGAACCATCACATCGATGTGGTCGTGGATGTCCCAGTGTAACTGCTCGGGGTGGCGGCTGGTCAGGACCAGCATGAATCTGCGGAGCAGGGATGGGGAAGGAAATGCTGGGGCTGCCAGCCAAACTGCCCCGAGGGGAACACGGGCTCCTTAGTCCCCCCAGGGGGACTTTCCGGGAGAATCTAAAGCGGCAGCTTGTGAGCACAGGAAACACCGGGAGGACGCGGCACAGCCTTGGTCACCGCCGGCCCCACCACGCCCAGCTGTCCCCCCGCCCGGCTACCGGAGCCTCTGTTCTCACCCCGTGTGGCGCTTCCCTGCTGACACTTGCCCAGCGTGATAGGCAGCGCCAGGACCACCACTCCTCCTGCTGCCTGAGCCCTGCTGTGCTGGGAGCAGGGATGCGGCACCCAGAGTCCATGTCAAGAGTGGCCACGCCAGCCAGGAGCAGGACCTCAGGGGCTCGGGTGCAGCGGAGGCTCAGCAGGGCCTCAGCCCTGCCTCTCTGGGAAGGACCTGAGCCAGGGCTCCAGGGAGCGTCTACGGGCAGCAGCTGAGCCAGGGAGCCCAACACGCCTGAGGAGTCGGCCACGGCCGCCTGGCAGGACTTGATCCTCCGTGTGACATGTGACTGGGGCTGGAGGGGCCCAGGAGACCAAGAGAATTCAAACTTAGGGGATTTGGGAGGGGCTAGGGAGCCTGGCCATGGGGCCATCCACCTACTGGGGACGTCTGGGCAGCAGCTCACGGAGGACGCACAATGTGGGGAGGGCCCCTAACCTGGAGGGTGCACCCCTGTCCAGCATCTGGGTCGGGGGGCCAAGGCCCCAGGCTCCGCCCAAACACACAAGACCTGCTCGTGCCCAGCTTCCCGTGTGAACAAACATGTCTCCATCTCCCACACCAGGGTACCCACACCCTGCAAGGGAGGCCCCAGCAGAGCCTCAGACCATCAGCCAGCCTCCCTTGCCGGCACAGGACCGCGGAAACCCAGGGGCAGAGGGACGTGCAAGCTGGGGCGGCATCGCACAGGGCCTTGAGGACAGGACTGACCCCGGCTCTGCCCAGGAGTCCCCCGCATGTTCCTCAGTGACGCCCCATGCTGTCCCAAGATGGACCGTTCCCAGGGGTCATCCGAGGTGGGCATGTTGAGGCCATGGGTGCTGCCCAGCACTGTGATCCAGGGCCCCTGAGGTCCCTCGGTGGGAACCAAGGGCGATGGCTGCAAAGCCCTACCCAGGGGCCCAGGACCCGAGGGGCTCCCTCACTTGTTGCTGCGATCCTTCATGTGGTTTAGGAAGGCGTTCTGGGTGGCTTTGAGATCCTCGTTTATCTCCTCCTGCAGAGAGAAGGTTCAAGCCTTAGGCACCAGGAGCAAAGCCTTGTAAATAGCCACAGCAGAAGGTCCCACAGGCCTCCCTCCTGCAGGGAGCAGGGACGCGGCCACTTTCATGGATCTAAACTCAAAAGCCTGACCAGGGCCAGGGACGGTGGCTCATGCATGTAACGTAGTATTTTGGGAGGCCGAGGTGGGCAGATCACCTGAGGTAGGGAGTTTGAAAACATCCTGGCCAACATGGTGAGACCCCGTCTCTACTAAAAATACAAAAATCAGCCAGGTGCGGTGGCACAACTGTGGTCCCAGCTACGTGGGAGGCTGAAGCAGGAGAATCACTTCAACCTGAGAGGCAGAGGTTGCAGCGAGCCGAAATCGCACCGATGCACTCCAGCATGGGCGACAGAGTGTGACTCTGTATCAAAAACAAAAACAAAAAAAACCCTGACTGGGCATGGGGGCTCACGTCTGTAATCCCAGAACTTCACAAGGTCAAGGCGGGAGCATCTCTGATAGCTCAGAAGTTTGAGCCCAGCCTGGGTAACGAGGGAGTAAGTCCATGTCTACTAACATTACAAAAAAACAGCCGGGGGCGATGGCTCACGCCTATAATCCCAGCACTTTGGGAGGCCGAGGTGGCCCGATCACAATGTCAGGAGATCGAGGCCATCCTGGCTAACACTATGAAACCCCTTCTCTACTAATAAATACAAAACAAAAATAGCCGGGCGTGGTGGCGGGCGCCTGTAGTCCCAGCTACTTGGGAGGCTGAGGCAGGAGAATGCCATGAAACCGGGAGGCGGAGCTTGCAGTGAGCTGAGATTCCGCCGCTGTACTTTAGCCTGGGCGACAGAGCGAGGCTCCGTCTCAAAAAAAAAAAAAAAAAATTAGCCGGGACCAGGCACAGTGGCTCACGACTGTAATCCCAGCAGTTTGGGAGGCCGAGGTGGGCGGGTCACCTGAGGTCAGGAGTTTAGGACTAGCCTGACTGACATGGAGAAATCCCTTGTCTACTAAAAAAAAATACAAAATGAGCCGGGCGTGGTGGTACAAGACTGTAATCCCAGCTACTTGGGAGGCTGAGGCAGGAGAATTGCTTGAACCCAGGGGGAGGAGGTTGCAGTGAGCCAAGATTGCGCCACCGCACTCCAGCCTGGGCAACAAGAGCAAAACTCCATCACAAAAAAAAAAATTAGCCGGGCATGGCACTGTGCCCCTGCAGTCCTGGCTACGCGGGCGGCTGAGGCAGGAGGACGGCTTGAGCTTGAGAGGTCGAGGCAACAGTGAGCTGTGATCGCGCCACTGCACTCCAGCCTGGGCGACAGAGACCCCGCCTTAACATAAGAACTGTATGGCTGGGCGTGGTGGATCACGCATGTAATCCCAGCATTTCGGGAGGCCAGGCGGGGAGGTCATTTGAGGTCAGGAGTCCTCCACCAGCCTGACCAAAATGGTGAAACCCCATCTGTACTAAAAATACAAAAAATGCCTGTAATCCCAGCTACTCAGAGGGCTGAGGCAGGAGACTAGCTTGAACCCAGGTGGTGGAGGTTGTAGTGAGCCAAGACCGCGCCACTGCAGGCCAGCTAAAGGGATAGAGTGTGACTTTATCTCAAATAAATAAGAATAAAAATAGACCGGTGCAGTGGCTCACACCTGTAATACCAGCACTTTGGGAGGCTGAGGCAGGTGCATCACGAGGTCAAGAGATCTAGACCATCATGGCCAACATGGTGAAACCCCATCTCTAGTAAAAATACAAAAATTAGCCGGGTATGGTGGCAGGTGCCTATAATCCCAGCTACTTGGGAGGATGAAGCAGGAGAATAGCTTCAACTAGAGGTTGCAGTGAGCTGAGATCGTGCCACTGAACTTCACTCCGACAAGAGACTGGAGACAACATCTGGAAACAAAACAAAACAACCCTCAAAAGCCAAACCTTAACTTTAAGCTGACCAAAAAAAAAAAAAAATGCTGGTTTTCACTCAAAACTTAGAGAAAAAGGAATTGAGCAGCGGGCTGCTGCCTGGTCCAAGATGACGGACGCACCCGCCCCACCACCTCCCTGTGGCCAGACAGAGGCTTAGTGACACTCACAGTGGCTGGCTTCGAAAGGAAGGCGTCCGCGTCGTCCATGAAAAGCAGGAGGCTGTGAACGAGAGGGAGGCCAAGCACGGGGAGAGTGACACCTGGAGCAGCCCACAGCAGCGTCCGGCTGTGGCGGGAGCAGGCTGAGCGGGCAGATCCCGAAGGGGTGCAGCCTCTGCCCCATCCGGAACCCTAAGTCCTGGATCTGACAGAAGCCCATCAGCCTGGCCTCTGGGCAGCTGACCACGGCCCAGCCTCACAAGGCCCCGGGAAGCCAATGAGCCAATGGCACACGCAGGCTTCACCCCCACCCGGCCCAGTGCAGCGCTGGCGGCTGCTCAGAGTCCACACCAGGGGCAGGATCTTCTAAAGTGAAAGGTCAAAGGCCAGAGGGGAGGGTGCCAGCCATGAGGAATGTGGTGCCAACGGGGAGAGCTGATGTCGCAAGCGTGTCCCAGCTATTAATCTATTAAACAGTGTGTGACTTTAATAGGCACACACCCTATTGTGTGCCATGCTGTCTTCAGCTAACTTCCAAATGGTTCTACCAAAAGGAGCCGGTGTCCACGCCCACCTGCACGCGTGTCAGAGGGAGGGCGGCCGTGGAGGTGGCGCCCCTGCAGCTGTGAAGACCCCTCTGCCCCTACAGCCACCCACCTCCCTTCTGCCCTGAGCCAAGTATCCCACTGGCAGCCTCCGCACGCTGGGGGCCTCGTGTCCACCAGGGTCCACGCTCAGGGGACCTTCCCTCCGAGGGACCCTCCGCCGGGCCTCCTGCGTGGCCACAAGGACAGAGCTGCAGAAAGACCACGAGGTCCCGGAAAGCCACCTGGACCCCCTTCCCCGAAGGCAGCCTGCTGGGCCGCAGTGAAGGGCCTGTGTGCAAGCTGTGGGGACGTCTCACCCGCGCCGGCTGGTATTGGCCCAGTCAAACAGCTCGTGCATGGCGGTCACGCCTTCCCGCCCCATGGGGGCCACGTCCCCGCCTGTCATGATGGCGTAGTCCATGCCCAAGTTCAGGGCGAGATTCTAGACGGGAAAAGTGAGGGGAGACAGAACAGATGTTCCCTCCGCCTCTGCAAAGCCTACACACACCACCCGGAGTGTGGAGCCCCTGCCGGGCGTCCCTGCTGGAAGCCACAGCCTGGAAGCCACAGCCTGCCAAACAGGCGACGTCCCCTGCCTGGAAGATGGGAGGCGCTCTTACCCACACCGGCACGCTGACCCTACCTGAGGGTGGCCAAAGGACTAAGGAGAGTCCATTCCCCAGGCAACTGAGCCCCCCAGACACCTGCAGGCAGGTGAGATCCCAGCAGCCCCTGGCCCACCTGCACAGCCAGGTGCTCTCACCTTGGCAACGAGCGTCTTCCCGGTGCCTGGCGGCCCGTACATCAGGACATTCCTATACAGGCCGTGGTTCTTCTTCGTGTTCCTTGTTGCTATGGCCACGTTGCGCACCTGCACTTCCAGGCTGGGCTGCCGGGGAAGACGGGGGCTTGGGGGACACACTCTGCGCCCAGGGAAGCCTCAGGGGCAGGGGCTGCGGCAATGCCCTGTTGTGGACTCCACTCCTCGGGGTGCCGCCCAGGTCACGGACAGCCTATCCCCGACAGGGGCAAAGCAGTCGCATCTCAGAAGCCGAAAGCTCCTGGGTGACTCCTCGAGTGCCAGCAAGGGCCGCAGCACGGCCCAGCTCCGGGGACCCCTCTCTGCACCTCCCCGGTCCCAGGCACACGGACTTACATGCAGCACAACACCCTCCAGCACGTCCTGGGGCCGACGGAGGAGCCGCCGGCTGACCTGCCGGAGGGGAAGGGGAAGCGCCATTGGGTCACCTGCCACAGCCACGGCACAGCCACCAACGCACAGACACGCTCGGTAACACACCGAAACGGAGCTGCCCCAAAGCACAGCCAGGACTGGCCAGGAGCTGGAACCCTATCCCACTAGGAGACTGGGTGACTATTGCTGGGACTGGGGTCACTTTCCAGTTCCTTATTGGCTTTTATTTCATTACCCACCCACCGAGTGACCTGTGGAGACCCCACCACCCCCGTGTGGAGAGCAGGCACCTCGGGGGCTGGCCAGCGGCGCGGTTCCCCAGGGAGGCCGCCAGACACCATGGCCTGTAGCAGCTTCCCTGACACACACCAGCACACCAAAGTCCCGGGACTTGCAAGGTCCCCAATGTGCTCCCAGGTCCCATCAAGAGCCCCAAGCAGGGGAGACCGAGTCAGACGGGGGAAGGGTCTCACTGATGCAGACCCCTAAGCTACAGCGAAAACCCAGGCATGAAGCCGCGTCCGGGTGCCCCTCGTGCGGGGAAAGGGAAGGAACAGGAGGGTGTGCACGGGCGGGTTTTCCTCATGGAGCAGAGGGGACTCAGCCAGGAACCGCACTCAGGGAGGACCAGGCCCACGCCGCTACCTGGAAGGGGTGCTGCAGCGCCTCCAGCACCGTGATGCAGGACGTCTTGCTCACCAGGGATGGCTTCCACAGCCGAGCCTCGATGAAGCGGGCCGCCGTGGCTGTCCCATTCTTGGCAGAGTAGACCCCGCCAGCCAGCAGCGTCAGCCCAACCACCTGCAGCGGAGACACCGCACTGGCGTGCCTGCCCCACCCTCCCTCCCTCCTAGAGCGGGAGATGCACGGGGCTGCCCCACCCTCTCTCCGCCCAAGGGAGAAGCACAGGGCTGTGTGCTGGCAGCACAGGACCGGAATCCCAGTCACGTGGTTACAGGAGGCAGGCGGGGCCGTCACAGCGCCCTCACTCAGGGCCATTTTCTCTGCAACTGGCAGCATAAATCCTGCAAAGCCCCGGTCGCTGAGCAGGGCCCTGGGCAGACTCAGCAGGCTATGTCACAGGGCCACACCCTCTGCTACTTTCTTGGCCACTAAAATGGTACTTTATTCCTGGAAAACAAGGCTAACCCGAAATCGCTAACTTGTTTTAAAAATCAGTTACACCGGCTGGGCGTGGTAGCTCAGGCCTGCAATCCCAGCACTTTGGGAGGTCGAGGCAGGCGGATCACCTGAGGTTAGGAGTTGCAGACCAGCCTAACCCACATGGAGAAACCCCATTTCTACTAAAACTACAAAAAGTTAGCTGGGCATGATGGCACATGACTGTAATCTCAGCTACTTGGGAGGCTGAGGCAGGAGAATTGCTTGAACCCAGGAGGCAGAGGTTGCAGTGAGCTCAGACCGCGTCATCGCACTCAAGCCTGGGCCACAAGAGCGAAACTCCATCCCAAAAAATAAAAAAAGGAAGAAAGAAAGAAAGAAAAGAAAAATCGTTTATGCCAGGCCCGGTGGCCCATCCCTGTAATCCCAGCATTTTGGGAGACCAAGATGGGCAGATCACCTGAGGTCAGGAGTTCGTGACCAGCCTGGCCAACAGGGTGAAAACCCATCTTCACCAAAACAGAAAATTACCCGGACACGGCGACCTGCACCTGTAATCCTGGCAACAGGAGAGGCTGAGGCAGGAGGATGGCGTGAACCCGGGAGGCGGAGCTTGCAGTGAGCTGAGATGGTGCCACTGCACTCCAGCCTGGGGACACAGTGAGACACTGTCTCTAAATACAAACAGAAGTCAATGGTGCATTAAGCAGCTCCCTCGTGTCCTCACGTGACACCGTCTCACCAACACGGGCGGCAACACCACCTGCGACATTCACCGTCACACTGGCGACGCCACAGGCAGGCGCTGCAGTCACAGCTCAGGGCGCCGGCACCACGGCGGAGCAAGTGCCCACTGCGTGCCAGGCACCTACTGTGTGCTGGGCAGCGGGGGACGGAGGACGCAGCCGTGTGCGACGTGGTGTGCCACCACACTAGGCTGGCGCCTGCGCACAAAAGAGTGAGGCTGTAAACGAGAGAGGAATCTGTGAACTTCAAACTCTCAGGGTTTTCTGAGGAATAAAGGTTTTTGCAAAATGGTGTCAGGGTCACCTTCTGTTTTCTTTTTTTTTTGAGAAGGAGCCTGGCTCTGTCCCAAGACTGGAGTGCAGTGGCAGGATCTCTGCTCACTACAACCTCCGCGTCGTGGGTTCAAGTGATTCTCCTGCCTCTGCGTCCTGAGAAGCTGGGACTACATACACGTGCCACATGCAGAGATGGGGTCTCACTGTGTGGCCGAGGCTGGAGACTGTGTTTTCTTCTCCCAGCTCGAGGAGCAGCCCCCACAAGCCCAATTTGGCTTGTTCCGTGCTGGGAGAGCTCCAGGGCCTGTGCAGAGCAAGCAGGGACATGACCCGGGGACAGGACCCGGGGTTCCAGGAGGCCCCCACAAGCTGCCCCACAGCCACCTGCCAGCCCTGCCCGGGACACGCGTGTTTACCGTGGCTGTCACTGCGTCCCGCTCTGTCACAAAGGCCCAGAATCTTTCCCCAAACACGGTGACAGCCGTCCTGCAGGGGAAGCAGCGGTGTGACCAGTATGGACACGAAGATCCGAGCCACACAGCAAGAGCAGGTTGAGGGTGAGGCCCCGACACAGCGGCCCGATCCTGCCAGGACAGAGGGGCAGTGCCCCCACCAAGGAGCCAGCCTGGAGCAGCCAGGCCTGGGACACCTGGAGAGCGCCTAGGACCAGCAACACACACCTGCAGGGCCCCGTCTGCGGCTGGCCTGGGCAGCGCTCACCTGATGGACGCCAAGAAGGTCTGATGGTGTTTCTGCACCGACTCCTCCTGCTTCCGTAAGTTCTCCTCATTGACAAGTTGCTGAGAAGTCACAGAAAAAGAGAAAAGCCTTTAAAACCAGAAAAATGCTCAACACCAGTGCAGAGGTTGTGTCTGCCCCAGGACGGGAGGGCTCCAAGCGTCTCGGGCACCTGGGGCCCTGCAGATGCCACAGCCTGACACAGACACAGGTGACATCGGCCGGGACGGCAGTCGCTGAGGGGCTGCTTTCAGGAGCCCAAACTCCCCAGCGGCAGAAACAGCCCCCACTGCGGCTTCCCTGAGAAGGGCCACTGCGCGGCCGACGTCCCAACACCACCGCCCTGATTCACGCTGTGCTGAAGGAAGCCTCTGTCTTCTGCCAAGAAAACGTTGAAGCTACAGTGGCCACAACAGGCAACGCGTGAGCCCCGCCTGTGAGCTCGGGACTGAGGGCGACGGGCCGGGCGCGGTAGCTCACACCTGTAATCCCAGCATTTTGGGAGACCGAGGCAGGTGGATCACTTTAGGTCAGGAGTTCAAGACTAGCCTGGCCAACATGTCGAAACCCCATCTGTACTAAAAATACAAAAAAGCAGCTGAGTATGGTGGCAGGTGCCTGTAATTCCAGCTACTCGGGAGGCTGAGGCAGGAGAATCGCTTGAACCCGGGAGGCGGAGGTTGCAGTGAGCTGAGATCACACTACATCACTCCAGCCTGGGTGACAGAATGAGACTCCTTTTCAAAATCAATAAAATAGAAAAAGTCCTGCTGAGCTCAAAGAAATGAGGTGAGAACGTCAAGAAGACCCAGGCTCTCCAAACGACCAGACACCCTCACCAACACTGGTCCTCCCTCTCGGGTGGCACCGCAGTAGCGTCTCTCACCTCCCCTTGGAATGAGGCGCCCAAGCTCGGCCCTGGGTCCCACTGCTGCCCATGTACACGCCCCTGGCCCTACCCACCGGCAGTAGCCCACCAATCTCCACGCCCGAACCCCATGTGCACCCCGGCCTACCCACACACACCGGCTCCACTCACTTTGAGCTTGGACTGTTGCTCCGGCTGCAACGTCGGCTCCTGCATCTGCACCAGATTCACGGCGTCCTTCGACATGGCCTGTGGGCGCAGAGGCACGGAGGGCAGGTGTTAAGATACGCGCAGGACTGGGCAGGCATGCACACCAGCCTGGGGGCTTTCACACAGCCACACCTGGACCTCAAAGCCCCCAGCCCTGCCTGAAGGGGTGGCCTGCCCCTCCACACCTGTGGGTGTTTCTCGGTAGGTGGAACGAGAGACTTGAGAAAAGCAATGAGACACAGAGACAAAGTATAAAGAAAGAAAAAGTGGGCCCAGGGGACCGGCGCTCAGCATACACAGGACCCACGCTGGCAAGGGTCTCTGAGTTCCCTCAGTATTTATTGATCATTATCTTTACCATCTTACAAAAAGGGAAGTGGCAGGATAATAGGATCATCATCGGGAGAAGGTCAGTAGTAAGACATATAAATAAAGATCTCTGTGACATAAGTTTAAGGGAAAATGCCTTGATATGCATATGCAAACATCTCTATAAATCTTTTTAGTGTACAAAGAGCAGCATTGCGCTAGCACGTCCCACCTTTCGCCCTAAGGCGGTTTTCTCCTTTCTCAGTAAACAGAACATACAATCGGGATTTACACCGAGATGTTCCATTGCCCAGGGACAGGCAGCAGACAGATGCTTTTCTCTATCTCAACTGCCAAGAGGCCTTCTTTCCTCTTATATTAGTCCTCCTCAGCATAGACCCTTCATAGGTGTCAGGCTGGGGGAGGATCAGGTCTTTCCCTTCCCACGAGGCCATATTTCAGACAACCACATGGGGAGAAAGCTTGGACAATACCTAGCTTTCCTAGGCAGAGGTCCTGCGACCTTTGGCAGTGTACATGTTTTTCTTAATCTCAAGTACCCAGGGACATATACACTTGAGATTAAGAAAATGGTGATGACTTTTCACAAGCATACTGCCTTGAGGCACTTGTTTAACAAAGCACACCCTGCACAGCCCAAAATCCTTTAAACCTTGAGTCACCACAGCACATGTCTCTTGCTAGGACAAGGTTGGGGGTAGGGTCACAGATTAACAGCATCTCAAATGCAGAACAAAATGGAGTCTCTTATGTCTACTTCTTTCCATATAGACACAGTAACAGTCTGATCTTTCTTTTCCCCACACTGCCTCACCATCCTCCTTCCCAGTCACACCTGGCGTGACGATGCCCCGTCCCCAGCACACGGGCTGATGCATTTGTGGGGTTTTATCCCCCAGGGACGGTCTTGGAGGGTCACATCGGGAAGGCCGTCCCACGTGGACGGGAGGAGGCTATTTCCCAATTCAACAGAAAGTCAGGTGATGGCTAAAGGGTCCTCTATTTTTTCACGTTACAAACGCTTTTCCTAAGTTTCCAATGGCTATTGTCATTGATCTGCTATCAGGCACGTGCAGGCAAGAACGGGAATCCATAAGAATCGGATACCAGCCGACACGCCCAGGGTGACGAGGGCAAGCGTACGACAACGTCCCCAGTTACATTTTGTTCCTGGTGGAGAATGACAGGTTGACGTTTGGGTGTTCCGGGACAGAAGTACGTATTCTCCGAGCTGCTGAGGCCTAAGCACAGGTCTCAAAATTTTCTGGGATGACAGTTTTCCCATCACAAAAATTTACCATAAACATGTTTGGCCAGGCGCAGTGGCTCACACCCGTAATCGCAGCACTTTGGGAGGCCCAGGTGGGCGGATGATGAGGTCAGGAGATGGAGACCATCCTGGCTAACACGGTGAAACCCCATCTCTACTGAAAATACAAAAAATCAGCCGGGCATGGTGACGGGCGCTTGTAATCCCCGCTACTCGAGAGGCTGAGGCATTAGGATGGCGGCGTGAACCTGGGAGGCGGAGTTTGCAGTGAGCCGAGATCATGCCACTGCACTCCAGCCTGGGCGACAGAGCGAGACTCTGTCTCAAAGAAAAAGAAAAGAACAGATTAAAAGAATGAGAGAATATGCTGGTTTCGGTGTCAAGAATCCTCTTGGGCAAGGAATTTGTCACTAACAATTGGCCAGGTATTAACCACAAATTACAAAGGAAAGAGAACTAGAAAAATAAGCCTATAGAAGAGATTCTGAGACAGGAAAAAAACATCTTAGGAAAGAGAAACACTGATAGAGGGAACAGAGAAAGTGAGAGAGAGACAGTGTCAAAGAGAGAGAGGAAAGGATAGAAGTAGTAAAGAAAAGCAATCTGCCCCATTCTTTTAAAAGCCAAGAGTAGGCCCAGCGTGGCAGCTCAGGCCTGGAATCCCAGCACTTTGGGAGGCCGAGGAGGGCGGATCACGAGGTCAGGAAATCGAGACCATCCTGGCTAACACGGTGAAACCCTGTCTCTAAGAAAAATACAAAAAATTAGCCAGGCACGCTGGCAGGTGCCTGTAGTCCCAGCTACTAAGGAGGCTGAGGCAGAAGAATGGAGATTGCAGTGAGCCGAGATTATGCCACTGCCCTCCAGCCTGGGCGACAGAACAAGACTCCATCTCAGAGAGAGAGAGAGAGAGAGAGAGAGAGAGAGAGAGAGAGAGAGAACCCAGGACGTGGAGCTTACAGTGAGCCAAGATCGCGCCACTGCACTCCAGCCTGGGCGACAGAGAGAGACTCCGTCTCAAAAAAGAAAAAAAAATAGAGCTAAGAAAGTTTCCTAATAATTGGTCTGCTTAAGCATATTGAGCTGTTTGCACTCAGCCAAGCCTTAAAATACTTAGAGAACCAGGAAGGAACCATCTATACCAATTCTAAGTATGCCTTTGACGTGGCTTATACATTAAAAATATATATGTATTAGACGGAATGAAGTACTATTAATAGCAAAGGATAATTAAAATCCCAAACTTACAAAGTTCTCAACAAAAGTAAAGTTTGCTCTAAGTTATCAGTGTAGGCCGGGCGCTGTGGCTCATGCCTGTAATCCCAGCACCTTGGGAGGCCGAGGCGGGTGGATCACCTGAGCTCAGGAGTTTCAGAGCAGCCTGAGCAACATGGTGAAAACCCCATCTCTACTAAAATACAAAAAATTAGCCGAACGTCTCGGCCTGAACCTGTATCCTAGCTACTCAGGAGGCTGAGGCAGGGAGGATCGTTTGAACCCGGAGGCAGAGGTTACAGTGAGACAAGATGGTGCCACTACACTCCAGCAAGGGCGACAGAGCGAGACTCTGCCTCAAAAAAAAAAAAAAAAAAGTGCTATTCCAAACATCAGACATTACGTAAGAATACCACACTCCTTGACACCCACCCTCATCAGGGAAAGTGGAAACAATGAATGAGACTTTAAAGAACCACTTGAGGCCAGGCGCGGTGGCTCATGCCGGTAATCCCAGCCCTGTGGGAGGCCGAGGCAGGTGGATCACAAGGTCAGGAGATCGAGACCATCCTGGCCAACGTGGTGAAATCTCTTTCTACCAAAAACACAAAAATTAGCCGGACATGATGGCATACACTTGTAGTCTCAACTACTCAGGAGGCTAAGGCAGAAGAATGGCACGAACCCAGGAGGCAGAGCTTGCAGTGAGCCAAGGTCGCACCACTGTACTCCAGCCTGGGCGACACAGCAAGACTCCATCTCAAAAAACAAATAGCCAATCGGATTTAGATTGTGAGGTCTAACCCTGGCCAACAAGGGAACCACACAGCAGTAGGCGCTACCTGTGTCAGGAAAAAGAACTTTCCCGTCCCTTGTCCAAGCGCTCGCCATTGCTCCATCTATGAGACGCCCTTTTTTTTTTTTTTTGAGACGGAGTCTCACTCTGTAGCCCAGGCTGGAGTGCAGTGGCCGGATCTCAGCTCACTGCAAGCTCCGCCTCCCGAGTTCACGCCATTCGCCTGCCTCAGCCTCCCGAGTAGCTGGGACTACAGGCGCCCGTCACCTCGCCCGGCTAGTTTTTTGTATTTCTTAGTAGAGAAGGGGTTTCACCGTGTTAGCCAGGATGGTCTCGATCTCCTGACCTCGTGATCCACCCATCTGGGCCTCCCAAAGTGCTGGGATTACAGGCTTGAGCCACCGCGCCCGGCCGAGACCCCCCTTCTATAGAAGTAAATTTCCTAGCTGAGAGAAACGTACATTCGAGTGCTACTTCTTTTGCAACACCGAAAATTTACGTATAACACAGTGAGCCGCCGAGATCTCGCCACTGCACTCCAGCCTGGGCGACAGAGCAAGACTCCGTCTCACAAAAAAAAGAAAGCCGGCTAGGCACGGTGTCTCAGGCCTGTAATCCAACACTTTGGGAGGCTGAGGCAGGAGGATTGCTTGAGCCCAGGAGTTGGAGACCAGCCTGGGAAATCAAGAGAGACCCCGTCTCTACCAAAAAATAAAAAAAGGAGGAAGAGGAAAACCAAATGAGTTCCCCAGCCATAGCCAGACGCCCCCTCCGGCCCCCGAACCCCCCAGTGGCCATCAGGAAGGGCTTGGTTTTATTTTTATTTTTATTTATTTTTTATTTATTTATTTTTAGACGGAGTCTCACTCTGTTACCCAGGCTGGAGCGCAGTGGTGTGATCTCGGCTCACTGCAAGCTCCATTTCCCAGGTTCATGCCATTCTCCTGCCTCAGCCTCCCAAGTAGCTGGGACTACAGGCACCCGCCACGACACCTGGCTACTTTTTTGTATTTTTAGTAGATACTGGGTTTCACCGTGTTAGCCAGGATGGTCTCCATCTCTTGACTTTGTGATCCGCCTGCCTTGGCCTCCCAAAGTGCTGGGATTACAGGTGCGAGTCACGGTGCCCAGCCAACAAATATTTACAATTAGCGGGCGTGGTGGTGCACACCTCTGGGGCTAATTAGGACCTAGTAGGGTATGGCTACTGGACAGGCTGAGGCAGGAGGATCACTGGAGCCTCAGAGGGCGAGGCTGCAATGAGCTATAATCACACCACTGCACTCCAGCCTAGGCTCAGAGTAAGAACCCATCTCTGAAAGGAAAATGAGAGAGAGAGAAATGGAGAGAGTGGGCAGAGGTGAACCGCCTCCCTCCAAGCACTGCAGCTCCGAGGGCTCTGCTCTCTGACAGACCCGCTGCATGCCCAGGCTCCTCTTCTGTTTCCTACTTCCGCCAACACCCCACACCCTTCCTAAGGACACAAAGTGCAGAAAGCAGTTTATGTTTCATCGGCTAATATGAGGCTCTGCGCGATCGCACTGTGCTGTTTTGCCCTGCGATTCCCCGCGACCACCCCT